CACCCGGTCATATTCTTAAATGTTAAGACTTCAAAAGAAAGCTGACACCTTAATGTGCATCACATCACCTGAAGGACTCTAGTACCAGGGTTCTCATTTGGGAGGTCTGAAGTGGGGCTCAAGAATTTATATTGCTGATGGGCAGTGGTGGCTCACACCTTTAATCCTAGCACTCTGGAGGCAGAGGCAGGTGGATCTCTGTGAGTTCAAGACCAGCCTGGTCTACAGAGCTGGTTTCAGGACATCCAGGGTTACACAGAGACCCCCTCTCCCCAACAACAACAAAAAAATGTATTACCAATAGTTTCCAAGGGGACACAAATGTTCCTAATCTAGGCCTGCAATTTAAAAATCTCTGCTTTAAAGGATACAAAATCATAGGGGTCCTAAGTTTAAATTATGACCTTTCTTTTTAGACAAGATTCTAATAGACACCACAGCCCTCTAAACCACCCCTACGTCCCAAGGAATTTGAGATTTTATTTTTGGAAGAAGCCTCTGGAGAGAAAGATGCTGGACCTCCCCTAGGAAGTCAGGAAACATCTGGGAAATAGCATTTTAGAGGGTGCAGGGAAATGCTTTCTGAATTTAAAAAGCCAAGCAAAACTCTTGAATGGGAGATGATGAGGTTGGCTTTGGCTGATCTGATTACTGGTCCAACTGCTAGTAAACAAGAGGTTCTGGGAATGTGGGCAGAGCAGATCTGCTCCGGAGACTACAGATACTCACTACTGAGGGGCTTCTATCCACAAGGGCCCAGACTAGAGGTCTGCTCTAAGGAAGAACAGGTGTCTGTCAGGGCATGGGGGTGGTTAGTATCTGGGAAAATGGAGAAGGAATACAATGCAACAAGACAATTCTAGAGCCTAAGTCACAGAACCAGTGACTGAGATAATTGTGGTGAGAGGAGAAAGTGCTTCAGGCTGTGCTTACTTGAAGCAAAAGCAGCAGAGGCCTGGCCTTGAAGGGCCATCTGCCTGCTTCCTCTAGACCTGCTCTAAGTTAAATCTGTCCCCATGAAAGGGAGGGAGAATTCATTCATGAACCAAGCTGAGTCTAGAACTGGAAATGTGCAGAGGAACCTCTTTTGTAAAGAGCACACTGGCTTTACTATCTAGCTAAACAGGTGAGGTGAGGCAATGTCAACGTCAGAGAGATCTACATATTAGTGGGTGTGCAGACAAAACCACCCTGGGAAGGCACTACAGCACCACAGATGCGCTCTGACATCAACCTACCGGGGCTTGGACTTCTGAAGGTGGAACGCTGGGCAGGTTAACCATCCCATGCCACAGTGAGCATCCTCACCTGTAAATGGGGGTAGTAAGAGTGCTTGCACCTTAAAGGAGCTGAAGAAAGAATGAAATTAAATAAGTAGGCTATTTAGGACCTAATTTTAAACATTCAGTACTTAAAATATAAAAGATAGTGGGGCTCAGAAAAATTTAGGATGGTGATTATACACACTATCAGAGTTATTGTCAGAGACAAAAAGGACAGCTAGGCTGGAGCTGCTCCCAATCTCAGGCAGCCTAAGAGAATAGCTTTAACAGGACAACTCTACTGGCTGTAACAGAGGGTTATCCTGCTTGTACACACTCAACATTCAGTCTCTTTTGTGACATTTCTCATTGATAATCTAAGTAGAAACAAGTGGATGTGAACAAATCAAAGGGAGTAAAACGAGCATTGGTAGGGAAACTGTACTAACGCTACTGGAACACTTGGAGATTTGTAATATTAAGGTGGAATCCCAATTTCAGGGGAAATATAAAGCTCCCAAAGTTCTCTGTGCAGAAGCGGTACTGAAGTGACAGTCGTGGAGGTGTGTGGGCCCCAGCAGCGCTGGCAGTCAGATGCTACAGAGGGATTTCTTCCCTTTGATCCCAAATG